CTCCTGCTATTAGGCCGGATTTTCATTCTTTATTTAGTAGTTTACTTTGTTCTAGGGCAGACTCTACTGCGAAGAAGTATCTTAAGGAAATAAACAAGTTTTTACTGTGGTGTAGGACTCGGAAAATTACGCTACAGTTGCCATTTTCTTCTTCTGTTGTCGCCCTTTATCTATTTGGATTAGATCAACAGCTTAGGTCCCCGGCCGCAATGGTTTTGGTCCATGCTGCGCTGAAATGGTTCCATTCCTTTGTTCCTGATGATGGTCCCAATCCTTTGGATAACGCTTGTTGCAAGAACTTGATTGAGTGCGCCAAGAGGACAAGGAGCAATCCAGTTCACAAGAAAAAACCCGTGGACCCTGCTATCATTAGAAGCATTATTGACAGACATGGCGCTGAGGAAGCATCTTTAAAGGACTTACGTATTGCCGCAATAAGTTCTTTAGGTTTTGCAGGATTTTTTCGTTTTAACGAGTTGGCTAATATTCAGCCAAAACACCTCACGTTTTGCGATGGTTTTGTTAAAATTTTTGTGCCAAGGAGTAAAACGGATGTATATAGAGAGGGCAGTTATGTTTATATTGCTAAGTTAGAGAACAAATACTGCCCAGTAGCTATCTTACGTAGGTATATTGAAGCAGCCAATTTGGATCTGTCTAGTCACTTGCCTTTATTCAGGCCATTAACGAAGAACAAGTCGGGATATACCCTTAGGAATGGCAAGTTATCCTATACTCGCTGCAGGGAAATATTTAAGACTACTTTGAAAGATTTGGGCTATGACCCCAAGGAATATGGCCTACATAGTCTGCGTTCAGGGGGTGCTACAGCAGTTATCAGTAATAACGCATGAGGAGCTTTGCTCAAGAAAAAAAATCTCAGCAGGCGCCGGAAATTGATGCCCTGGTACGCGATAGAAAGGTGTGTTTGCTTGGTGTCATAAAATTAATTAAGACCGGAACATAATAAGTAAACCAGACACCGAGTATCCGCGAGAGACGCGTCATTTGAGCGCGAGGCAAGGCGAGGAGCCAGCATCCCACGCGACCGTTTTATTGCGGCGTGACCTTTCTGTTTAAAATGAAAAAGATTTTGATCATTCGAAATGTATCTTAAAAATAAAAGCTCGCGTCATCTACCCGTAGAAAGTAATTTACATGATAAACAAATCCAGATCGGACTGCCGGTGATTTGGACGGGGCACGCCAGGGTTAAAAGACATTATGTTAAAGTATTTTATATTTCCTTTGTCACTTTGATAAAATTTTTGAAGGAGCGACCCGTATTTCATGTGGAAATGTGTGACAAAGCGCCGCAAAAACTTGTTTCCAGTGCCGCTCAAATGAATGGACGGCAGCGTACATGTACGATTTTTTTTGTTTTTGAGGGTCAGGCAGCGATCATGCGATGTAACCGAGTTAAATTCTTACTAATTAATTAATATTCTACCTTAGACTTTCAAAGTTCAAAAGCGCTGTGGTTTTGATTTCGAAACCATTTGAAGTGAAGGCGACCGTCGACGGTATGAGTCTTCGTTTCCCATTTCGAGTCTGTCGAGGGTTACAACCCCCAAAAGCATTGGCATGCACTCAAAAAAGAAATATGTGGAGTCCGGCCGACGGGTTTCTCCAAAAATGAAATATTTAGGAGATTTCCTGACGAAAGACGTGGCAACGCGGGAACTTGAACCCGCCAAATCGGCCTATCCCGAAGTGGAATTCAACATTATGCCAGCTACTGTGTAAGTCGCTTCCACGTTCGTTTGATCACTGATGTTCTTCGCCAGAATATCATTCCACCGGATGGCCTTGTAAATTCTGTTACGGACTTAAGTTACATATTAGTGATATTAGACTTGAGGTAAGTTTGTTTTTAGTCAAATTATTCCCAATACAGTGAGGTATTTCTGTTTTCTGGTCACTTCAATTTAAAGAAATCATTTAGCTTTATTATTCTGTTTCTCTTCGGTAGTCAGTTTATTTATGGGCTTTTGTTATCTAAGGGCAAAATCTAATTTTTATCATGCTTATTTTGTACTAACTGGTTTTGTTTCTCTTGGGTAGTCAGTTCATTTATGGGCTGTTGTTATCTGATGACAAAACCTAATTTTTATCATTATTATTTTAAACTAACTGGTACTGTTTCTCTTGAGTAGTCTGATGACAAGACCTAATTTTCATCACAGTTTTCATTTTGTACTAACTGGTTCTGTTTCTCTTGGGTAGTCAGTTCATTTATGGGCTGTTGTTATCTGATGACAGGACCTAATTTTCATCATTTTCATTTTGTACTAACTGGTTCTGTTTCTCTTGGGTAGTCAGTTCATTTATGGGCTATTGTTATCTGATGACTGGACCTAATGTTCATCACAGTTTTCATTTTGTACTAACTGGTTCTGTTTCTCTTGGGTAGTCAGTTCATTTATGGACTGTTGTTATCTGATGACAGGGCCTAATTTTCATCATTTTCATTTTGTACTAACTGGTTCTGTTTCTCTTGGGTAGTCAGTTCATTTGTGGACTGTTGTTATCTGATGATAGAACCTAATTTTCATCAGAGTTTTCATTTTGTACTCACTGGTTCTGTTTCTCTTGGGTAGTCAGCTCATTTATGGGCTGTTGTTATCTGATGGCAGAACCTAATTTTCATCACAGTTTTCATTTTGTACTAACTGGTTCTGTTTCTCTTGGGTAGTCAGTTGTTTATGGGCTGTTGTTATCTGATGACAGGACCTAATTTTCATCACTTTCATTCTGTACTAACTGGTTCTGTTTCTCTTGGGTAGTCAGTTCATTTGTGGACTGTTGTTATCTGATGACAGGGCCTAATTTTCATCATTTTCATTTTGCACTAACTAGTTCTGTTTCGGATTATTATTATTATTGTTTATTGCTATTATTATCAACATCATTATTGAGTGATTTAAAACTATTTTTCTTTGACACAGGGCTATAATTTGCAGAAGGTGATGGAGTGTACACTGATTTGCTTTAGTTTTCTTTCAGAAATTCACATAGAATTTACTTTAGTTACAATAATTGCTTGGGTAATGAGATAAACTTTCAGCGACACAATGTGACAAAATTGTTTTAACCAAAATCATGATAACACCATCAAAACGTTTTTATTATTAGTATTATTCGCTACATTCAAACGATGCTAATATATGTATGTAAAAATGAAATTATCTTGTCGCTTGTTACCGAGCTATCCGTACTGTAAAACGTCAAATGAAAAGTTATAACACTCACATGTCTATTAGTTCTTACAAATGATTTTGTCAATGAAAATCGACGACAAAAAATTCCCTTCTCTGGCTTAATTAAGAAGCTTGGGTTGCAAAAAAATGTGTTTGTAAAACACAACCGAGTCAATTATCGTACGTTAAATAAATCAAAGCATTACTTTAGCAAAATAGAATCTTAGGGTTAACTTCCCGAGATTACTTCAAACCCTCTGGTTACCTTCCCTTCGACGCCGTGCCCTGTGAGCTTTGCGTTAGATCTCACGGTTTTTTATTATAGAATCAAGTCGCTATTAAAATGAAGCTGTTATAAGTCAGTTGTAGTTACTCATGTCCAAGAATTCCAAATGTTCCTGTTTCGGGAATCGTAGTTTCTCTGGGATTAAATCATTCTCATTGAGTAAACATTAATTTATCACAGGTAAGTAAATGTACTTAATTTATCACATCGAACCTCGTTGCTGACGCCGTTTTGTGTAATGTTCCAGCCGACTACACAGTAATAGACAGAAGATAGTGTACTGTTCGATCGACATAATTGCAAATAATTTCATTCCTCCCGTAAGAATAGATTTAGGCCGTCATTAAAATGTTTCTCGGGTGGTAAACCTTAGCTTCTCGTAATATTTTCTTAGTCGGCAAAGGGTTTATGTTTCATTTTCAATTTCTCTTTAGTAACAGATATAAACCCCGCTCTCGTTAAGGTTTGGTTGTTGATCTTCGATTATCCCATTCGAGTGATAGTCATTTCTCTTGCTATCGTCTGCTATAATTATGGTTGTGCGATCAATAAAGAGCGGGGTTTTTTTACAGTAGAGCCATGCCTTGAATACTATTTCGCGTGAGAAGTAACAGTTGACGTGTGTCTCCACGCGAGTAAAGCCAACAAATGCGCGTCCGTATCTGGAAAACCTTTTTATTATGTCAAGAAGTGTCTTATTTACACGTCTCGTGATTCCCACGCCGGGTGTTTTTGGATGCCGGCAAGTGCGAAAAAAGTAATTACCGAGGATTCCAAAGTAACACCTCAGTCGTATGAAGGCGCGAATTGTGATCTCCCGTTTCAGTTAATCATAAGCCATGGGTAGATTCAATCTACCCTTAGCCTAATTTGCATAATTTTTTTTGGTGAGCAAAGCCCGTCATGCTTCCAAAGCCGTTTCTGAGAGGTTGTTAAAACTTCATGGGCGGTGGAAAACAGACGAAGCAAAAGACATGTACGTTTTAGAGACAGAATGTAATCGTTTAAGTGTGACGAAACATTTAGGTATTTAACTCATATTTAAATATGTTATCTGTTTTTCCTTTACCAATGCTGTAAGATTACTTTTCATTAAAGTGTTAGGGTTCGCACGCGATCCACCCATATCTGATTTCGCCTGGTGTTTGCGGTTATTTAAGCGGTAAATAATTTACGTTCGTTTGAGCGAAGCGAATTAGAACGTAATGGTCGGTGCCATTGCGTAAATAAGAGAAGCCTCTGAATGCATTTTGCATGCCTTGAGTTTGTTTAAAAAACAACGACGATTACGACAGACCTCTAATAAGTCTTATCGTATTCAGAATCTGCTGAACTGAGATTACTGAGAAGTCAATTTCCGTTGTAATATTCACAGACACCGGTTTCTTGCCAAAGTTGTTGCTGGTAAGAATCTAAGATATTCAAAATAAAGCTGAGGGAATTCTTGGCAGGAAATGTTTGGACCCAAATAAAACACGGCGGTCAACGGCCTGTTTACACGTTGCTGATAACGATGGTAAAATGAGTTGCAAAACGCACTATTGAATCGCGTTTGCCAGCTGGTGCTAGAAAACGTGAAATGAACGGCATGTTTTCCTGGTGTTACCGCCGGTGAATGTTGAGATTTCCCGGGAGTTTTCCTTGTGTTACCCGAAGTCGGAAAAGGATTTAGGAACGTGATATTTTCACGACATTAACCGTTTGGTAAAATTTCCGGCTAACGAGAGAAAACGAGCTGTTCAACCCCGTTTTCCACGTGCTGGATAATGTGACATGAACAGCATATTTTCCCTCTGTTAAGTGATGGTGAATGCCAAGTTGTCCTTGTCTTTTCCGAAGAGGGAAAACGAGTCACGAACGCGATATTTTCCTCACATTAACCGTTTGGTAAAATGTCCGGTTAACGAGAGAAAGCGCACTGTTCAACCACGTTTTCCGTGTGCTGGAAAACGTGAAGTAAACAGCATATTTTCCTGGTGTTAACGGATTGTGAACGCCGAGTTTTCCTTGCGAATTCCGAAATGAGAAAACAGATCGTGAACGTGGCATTTTCAATACATTAACCGTTTGGTAAAATCACCAGAAAACGGGAGATTTTGTGCCGTGTATGAAGAAGGCATAATATACTCGTTATAAATGGCATTTTAGATAGATATTCTAGTTAGTGCTTACCAGCTTAGCTGTATAAAGGTTGGACTCAGGTTGAGAACATCTGTGAGAATAACTCAGTGCGTACGTGCTCTAAAAAAGTCCACAGTCGTGTTGGTCTGTCAACAACTTTCCAGCTGTCAGAGAAAAAAACAAAGAAAGTAATTTATGCAAATGTAACCAGAACACGATTAACGACGGCGAACTCGATTACCCAGAAACCGGTAAACATCCAGGTCTCTTCTCCCGATTTTTTTCTGAGGGAGGGGGGACGTCTGTATACAGGCTAGTATCCATGATGTTGAGCAACTAGGCTTCTATGACGAAAGAACAGTGAAACCTGTTTTAAGCGGACCCCCTCGGGGAATGCTGTAGTGTAGTGTCAGGGTGTCCGCCTAATACAGGTTTCGATAGTGTGACGATAGATTTTGCCCTTCCAGCAACGAATCGGGGAATTGAGCGTAAAGAGAACTCGGGAGACTTTGGCGTAAGAACAACAAGGGGGAAAACTAACTCGCAACTCGCTTGGCAAGCGGGAAAGGAACTCGTCACAATTCCAAGGTACCGGATCTGCTACAACTGGAAACAGTACAGGACTCAAGCTTGGACTTCAACAGTTTAATCTTCCGCTCGTTAACGTAACTTGTACAATCAATTAAATCCGCAATGTAAAATCCTACAAGCCTGTAACTCCGGCCCGCAATGTAAAAATCGAAAAACAGGAATAATCAGTGCTCTATTTATAACAACCGATCAACCCACTACAACATCACAAAACAAAAGGAAAGAAGGCTGAATAAAATCAGCTGAACAGCGAAAACAAATCTGGACAAACTCAGTTTAAAACTTCATATGCTAAACTAAACAGCTCAAATTAAATGTCAGTCAAGCAACTGAATTTAGGAAGTTTACAAAGAAAGCTGTGTAAAATAATTCGAGTTTCCTTTGCTCAGGATCCCTCAAAATGTCAAAACTAAAAACTACGAACGGTTGGTATTTGATCAGACGAAAGGTCTAGTTATTCAGTGACTAAGCTGTATAATTATTCAGAAACAAATTATCCTTTTAAAAGTAAACATTGAAGTAAAATGTGCATAATTTAAGGGAACTAAAACAACTCAATGCAAATTCACTGTAAATTACGGCTAACACAACTTCAAAGGGAATATTTAAAAGCTAGATATGAAATTCGAATCAAATAAAGAATAAATGGAAAATCTCTCCTTACAATAGTTAACGGGGTGTATATATAAATGCAAAATTTGCAATAAATTTACTCTACAGTTATAAGAAACATTTAGCTATAAAGTCACTTTGTATATTGTACAAACCGAGAATTCAGCCATTAATAAAAAATAAGTCAAATAACGGCTAAATCTTTTTCATGTACATAGTATGAAAGTTCAACTTAGCCATTAAATAATATTACGGCTAAATATTCCCCTTTTTATATAAAGAAGCCTTAGCCGTTAAAAAATGGCTAAATATTTTCCATATACAAAGAATCTAATGTAGCGGTTAATTAACGGCTAAATGTTTACACCATATATAGAGAGGAGGTCAAATTAGCCGTTAATTAACGGCTAAATATTTCTTTTGTATAGATAGTTATTAAAGCAAAATTTAGCCGTTAATTAATGGCTAAGTTTTTGTTTTGTATAAATAGTTCAATAAAATTTAGCCGTTAATTAATGGCTAAATTCTTGGTTAGGGCCTGTTTACATGGAGGTGGGGGAGGGTAACCCGTTTGTCCATATAATCTCTCATTTTAATTTGATCACGTTTACATGATAGGTGGGGTGACCCGCCATATTTTACCTCACCTGCCTGGGGTCCCCCACCCCCATGTAAACAGGCCCTTAGTACAATTAATAGTAAAATTTAGCCGTTAGGACGTAACGGCTAATTTTTTGTTATGTCTGTAGACAAAAATTATTGCAAATTTAGCCGTTGTCTAAACACCGCGCGTGAACGCATTTAAACAGGGCGGATAAATGTTGGGCGGTGAAACGAGCGCTCCGCTCTTCATTTAAGGCTATCTTTAAAACAAGGAACGGGGAATCGGAGAATAGGAATGGGGAACGGGGAACGGGGAATCTTTAAAATGGGGAATCTTTAGAATGGGGAATCTTTAAAGGCGGGAATCTTTAAAAGCGGGAATCTTTAAAACGGGGAATCTTTAAAAGCGGGAATCTTAAAAATGGGAAATCTTTAAAACGGGGAATCTTTAAAAGCGGGAATCTTTAAAACGGGCAATCTTATAAAAGCAGGAATCTTTAAAACGGGAAATCTTTAAAAGCGGGAATCTTTAAAACGGGGAATCTTTATATGCGGGAATCTTTAAAAGCGGGAATCTTTAAAATGACGGGAATCTTTAAAACGGGGAATCTTTAAAAGCGGGAATCTTTAAAACGGGGAATCTTTGGAAGCGGGAATCTAGATCTTTTGTAAACGCTATCAAGGATAATTCTGAAAACCCTTACTTTTGCTGATTATTGTAAACCGAGTTATCTTTAAGAGGCTGGTGTGAAATCAATGCTTGAACATTTCCAAGTTCTTAGCTTAATGATTTTGAAAGCGTTGGTCTTAAAAAGTTTGAATTTGACAAAGGTAGAGGTGTGTTTCAGCCAATCAGTTGAATGAACTAAAAACGCGAGCGCTGTCAAACTTTGCTGTTGTAGTCATGTTTTTCTTGTACATTATTACCTATACAAATAAAAATGCAACTATTTTTTCAAAAAAGCACATGACACCTCGGCCGATAATGTAACTTTGTAACTTGTAACTTTATTTGATTCACCACAAAATACAAATAACGATAAAACAAGACAGTTACACAAAAGCAAATGAAAGTGGCAAGGTAGCCCAAAAAGAAACCATGAGGCTTATAGACATTGGGCTCCCTCAGAGTAAAAGTGAAGTTAACAGTAACAGTAAGGCCAGGTTCGAAAGTAAAATACAATGAACGTAAGTATAAATTAACTAATTACATAGACTGAGTTGACAAAATATAAGGTATGGTACATGTAACAATAAGTATAAAAATAATATCAGACATGTGAAAAAATATAACATAAAGTTTGTTTTCTTCAGGTTTAAGGAGAGTTTGTTTGCCTTAAACCAAGTTCGGAATTGAGTGAGGCTGCCAGGTAGACAGTATCTTTATGGGACATAAATAAATTAGTATCATCAGCGAATAAAATCAGCTCGACGAGAGTCGATACGTTATTTAAATCATTAATATAGAGCAAGAAAAACAAGGGGCCCAAAATGGATCCCTGGGGGACACCACAGCAGATAGTTTGAGGAGAGCAGCATTGACCGTTAAATTGAACGAATTGCAACCTGTTGGAGAGGTAGCTTCTAACCCAGTCCAGAGCCACGCCACGTATACCACAGTGTTCGAGTTTGTCAAGCAACGGCATGTTCATTGCGATCAAGAAAAAGGGAGATTTTTTCATATAGATCGTTTTCACGTGACGTCACGGAATTTATTCCCGCCATGTTGGTGCACATCTGAGTCACGTGATCCACTTCTAAACACATGCAAACACAGTCCAAAATTATAATTCCTGTAAGTTTTACTACCTAAAAGAATGATTTCTAGTGAAGAAAATATTATTTCTTTGTGTGATCCAGACGATGTAATTCCCGTCCCAATTTCGGATTACGCCAAAAAGCTGGATATAAAGGTCAGAGAGCGTTATCTGCAGAAAATCTCAACTATTGGAATCGATCCTGTTTTGATAGAGGGGAAAAGCTTCGAGCCAGACTGCCTTCCACCAGTAGAATCTACTGATCTTCTTTGTTATTTGGTTCTCGAAACTAGCTTCTACACGCAAAAGCAATTTAAGTCTTTCCGAAGTCTCGAGGCTTATAATCAAATGGTTTCGGGTTTCGTTTCGGACGTACAAGGACATATCATCTCAAACAAGTTCGTGGTTTTAGCGAAAGTGCGGCACTCGCAGCGCATGAATGAGGCCTTGATACCAATTTGGATTATTACCGAAATGGATGGGACAATCAACTGCGCTCATTGTTTGGGATGCAAGGCGGGATTAGCCGAGTCATGCTCCCATATAGCCAGCGTGCTTTTTTATCTCGAGACCTGGACGAAGTTAAATGGACGGCTATCGTGTACTCAAATGAAGTGCTCCTGGATACTACCAAAGTTTGCAAAAGAGGTTGAATACGCCAGGGTCAGAGACATAAACTTCAAATCAGCTAAAAAAATGAAAGCTGACCTTGATGCAACGATAGAGAATCTATCCAATGACCTCCAGTCTTCTGCGGGCTCGAACGTCTTTACTGAAAGCCCTGTTCAGAAACCGGAAGTACCAACGCCGACACAAGCGGAAATGGAATGCTTTTACTCTGATCTAAGCAAATCCAAAACAAAGCCTGTAGTGCTGAGCTTGATACCTCCTTATGCTTACAGCTACGTGTTGCTCAGTCGCAAAATCCCTTCTGTAATGGATTTGTTCGACAAGAATAACTTAGAATTGCCTTACAATGAGCTGATAAAACTTTGTCAGAGCACTAACATTGATATAACCGAGGAACAAATCGCTCAGGTTCAAAAGGACACCATTTCACAGGCAAGTGGGACAAACTTTTTTAAGCATAGGGCAGGCAGAATCGGTGCTTCGCAGAGTAAGGCTGCAGCACATTCAGACCCCGCATTACCATCGCAATCTTTGATTCAAAGGATTTGTTACCCGGAACTGCACAAGTTAAATACCAAGGCTGTGTGTCACGGATGCAAGCATGAAGCCTCGGCTATCCGTGCCTTTGAGGAATCTATGAAAAAAACTCATGTGAACTTTAAGATTGTAAAATGTGGTCTCTTTATTAATCAAGAACATCCTTGGATACACGCTACCCCAGATTTTCTATGCTCATGCGACTGCTGTGGTGATGGTTGTGGGGAAATCAAGTGTCCTTATTGCATAGAGAACTGTGATTTTGATTCATATGTTTCAAAACCCTCCTCTTGTCTTGCAAAGAACATTGCTGGGCAGTTCACACTGCTCCACACACACGAATACTATTACCAGGTACAGCAACAGCTATTTACCACTAAGCTAAACCACAACTACTTCATTGTCTGTGCTGTGAATGAAGCAACTAATTACCTCAAGTTTGTCCAAACAAAAATACTCCCAGACAAAGAACATTGGAACAAAGTTTTACCCAAGTTAGAGAAATTTTGGAGAATTTGTGTTTTGCCTGAGGTACTTGCTCGATGGTACACAAGAAGGGTGAATCTAACTAGAGATGGGGCACTACTGGTTAATGCTGTGTGTTATTGCAGACAGGATACTGAGGAAGATACCATCAAGTGCTTTATCCAGACTGTGCCATTCTTCAATTTCACTTGTCATGCTTGGGTATTGATGCTATCCCCAAGACCTGGTACTGCCCTAAATGTAGGGCTTTACCAGAATTCAAGCGAGGAGGATCGAAGCAAAGTCAACTAGCATAATAAGTGAAGCTCTGAAGATGAACTCAGTTTGTACTTGTAAAACTGTAGCCAACAAAAACGACAAGCTGGTAAAGTGCACTAAAGTGGACTGCCCTAATGGGACGTTTTTCCATTTGCCATGTCTGGGAAGGAAGAGAATGCCAAATAACAGTAAAGTTTGGTTTTGTCCAGCTTGTATGATGAGTAATGCACAAAAGCCAACTGAGGGTACAGCCCCTAAGCCAGCAGCCATGCATGTCACAGCAAACACCAGGCCAACTGTCACATATGTCTCAACAAACACCAAGCCAACTGTCACACATGTCTCAACAAACACCAAGCCAATGGTCACGTATGTCTCAACAAACACCAAGCCAACTGTCACACATGTCTGTACAAACACCAAGCCAATGGTCACGTATGTCTCAACAAACACCAAGCCAACTGTCACACATGTCTGTACAAACACCAAGCCAATGGTCACGTATGTCTCAACAAACACCAAGCCAACTGTCACACGTCTCAACAAACACCAGGCCAATGGTCATGCACGTCACAACCAACAACGAGCCAACAGCCATGCAAGTGTCACCGAACACCAAGCCAACAGCCACGCAAGTGTCAACAAACATCAAGTCAACAGCCACGCATGTCTCAGCAAACACCAAGCCAGCAGTCACACAAGCCACAACAAAAGCAGAACCAACAGAAAGTTCTGGCAGTGAAGAAGTAACATTTGTGAAAACTGTCTTAAAGAAGAGGCCTCCTCGTGACAAGTATGGGCCAGAGGGAAAACTTGGCAAGTATGAATATGACTTAATCTCCTCCCCAAATGGATGGTTGGACTGTGTCATTATACATGAAGCCCACATACTACTGAAGAAAATCAGTACAAGCATACAAGGATTTCAGAGGCCTACTCTTGGTCCAGTCCATCAATTTGACATAATGACAAGACCATTTATTCAAATAGTCAACATCAATAATAATCACTGGGTATGTTTTTCTAGCATAAATAGTCCTCCAGGTTATGTGGATGTCTATGATAGCTTATCAACCCCCCTGACACAAGAGTTATTGCAACTGGCTTCAGACCTGACGGGACAAGCCTTTAAGGGAGTTCGCTTTATTCCAGTGCAACAACAGAAAAATGCTTCTGACTGTGGTGTGTTTTCAATAGCTTATGCCACAAGTTTAGTTTATGGCCTGAATCCAATGAATGTAACATATAACATTAGCCAGATGCATCCACATTTATTACACTGTCTAATGGGAGGAGTTATAACTCCTTTTCCTACCTCTTGAACTTCTTTTACAGAAAAGATTGCCGACGATTTAAACAGATGCCACACACAGCATGATTGCAGTGTGATCATGGCATAGCCTTAACGACGCAACAGCGTGCACAAATTCCTTTATGGCAATTGAATTGTGCCTCTTTGCATTCATAAAAGTCTACTTTATCAAACTTAGAGAGTGTTGATATTTATTAGCAGCGGGAATGTAAGCAGAAAGGACGGGATAGAAAAGTTTGACAGTCCTGTAAGGGGAGGCAGAAACAAAGAAAAAACAGCAAATGTTTCCATGAGTGGGGGGGGGGGATTGGGTTCTTCGTATACAGTTAACCCGTTAACCCTTTAAGCCCCAATATCCACATACAATTTCTCCAAACTGATCTATACATTTTATTAAAGAATGTGTTGAGAGAATATGATAAAAGATCAAGATATTTACTCATTGTTGATCATTTTACTAATTCTCATAACCTAATCTCTTGACAAATCATGTATATCGATAAGAGAAAATTTATGTTGGTCACCATTGGGACTTAAAGGGTTAATAGGTTAGTTACAAACCCAGTTGTTTTTTTCAAAGAAAAAAAATTAAAATATTTTGTTAATCAGAAAACTGTGAACACTAAAAATATTTCAAGACTGTTATTGTTCTTGAGGAACAAGGCAATCGGAAGTGTGAAAACTAAACCGTAACAATAATATTGTTAGTTTGTTCACATGTTCTGATCTTTGTTGCTACTGGTCATAAGAAAATTGAAATTCCTGAAATACCTTAGGTTTTCAAGGTTTTTTGAGTCTGAAAGAAGAAAAGAGACTGGTCAACTATGCATTGTCCAAACAATTATTAAACAATTTGATAATAAATTGCTTCAAAAAACACACAAGGACACCGCTGATAAAAAAAAAATGAACACTTCCTTGCCTACACACATAACAAATCAAAATAAGTACACGAGATGGGTAAGTAAGATTAAATTGACCATGACTACACTGTATTATTAACTCTGGTGCTCTTTAAAAGAGCCATTGGTTTTTTACCTTGTAGTGCTCAATATCAGATCACAGAAACTACAAGATTTGTACAACTCGTTTCACAGTATACTGTTTCTTTAATCCAAGGGTACAATACCATTGGAAAGGTTTGTCAAAGCAGCACACACTGTAATAATTCTGTCAATCATAGGAATTTTAGCCTCTTGGGAACCAGTAGGGTCACATTGCAAGAAATCAATTGGTAAAATTCCTGAAAGAATTGTGTATTTTCTCCTTAGCAGCCCAATGACTCTTTCTACATGTATACGAACATTTGCAATGCCACGGGTTTGCTCGACATCAACCGGATCCAGCTGGTCTTTGCCTTTAGTAAATGCTGGAATGGCAAGTTCAGCTTTGTGGAGCATTAGGCTTTCCTGGATAGTAAACCCCCGGTCAGCCATCACTAGATCTCCTGGTAATAGCTTTTTGAGAATGCCACAATTGTCTGTTAAATACTTATCAGAAGTCCTCCCACCCCAAGCGTTGGAGACAAATGAAATACTTCCTTGTGGAGTTATTCCAACCAAAATTTTGACAGTGTTATGACTCTTATAGTTTGAATAAGTTTGTGCTCGGGCCATGAGATTTGAAGGTCTCGCAATAAACACTTCAAAGCAGTCGATGATGACTGTAGTTTTGTTCCCAAAGGAAAACTGGAAGCATTGAGACATAGTTCTCCATAAATCCTCACGATCTGGCCACTTTATTAAAGGCGCTAATCGAACATCAAGAACCACCATCCAGGCTAAAAATATTCTTGACACAGTTGGTAGCGATATTCCAAAGCGGTATGCGAGATCCTGCATAGGCATGTTCAGCTTAAGTTTCATTAGCGTGAGAACACATTCTTGAAATTTGGATAACGTTGGAGACTTCCTTATAACAAATGGCGAAACATTCTGGTACACTGTTTTTAACACATCATAGGCAGGCAATCCGGTGTAAAAACGTACCTTCTCGTCGTCATTAGCGAAATACGTTTCATCGAATGGTGGTCTCGAGGCAGAGGTGCGAAATAAATATTCAAACTCGTCGGTTTGAGTCGCTGTCCCAGTCTCACCACTCTCAGGCTCTACGTTCATCACTGATTCCAGATCGAAGGAGATATCCATAACTCTTTCTTCTGACTCATTAAGTTTTTGTTTTTTTGCGCTTAATTTCTTCTCGAAGCTGCTTTTCAATTTCACGCTCTACCGCAACACGTCGTTTCAGCTCACGATCTCTAGCCCTCTTGTCTCGCTTCGCGGCAGCTTCAAGATTTTGAAGCTTTTCACCAGAATCACATTTCTTGTGACCTAAATTTTGGGTCGGAACCCAATCAGGATCGTATCTTTCCCACAGATTGGCCGCTTGGCCGGAGATGAAATGCTTTCCACAAACTCGGCCATGCTCCAAAATGGAGTCTGTGAGGTCTTCTCTGCTGATGGCAGAAATCCATTTATTTCTCCTCTCTTCAGAGAGTTCCCTCATTTCTTCACCTTGAGTAGTTATGACTGACGGTATTCTCGCCATGGAGATCCCTTTATCACGGACACTTCGTGTCCCGCATCCAAAAACCGCGCATAAAACCATTTTCCTGGACTAACTTCGTATTCTTTGTTTACATTTGATGTGCACCAATATGGCGGCCAATTGAAAAATAGTCACGTGACTGAAAACGATCTATATAGGTCAATCAATGCTAACGAAGGTGAATGATTTTTCCTGAAACCAAATTGATTATCACATAGAATTTCTAGTTTACTTAAATAATTATAAAGACGGTTATAAACAACCTTTTCAAGAAACTTAGAAAAGCTAGGGAGAATCGAGATCGGTCTATAGTTCGTAAAGAGTGATCGATCACCGGCTTTAAAGAGTGGAATCACGCGAGCAATTTTCATTTGGTCGGGAACAATGCCATGAGTGATAGATAAATTGATTATATGAGCTAAAGGATCGGCTATAATTTGAATTGACTGTTTTATGATGGAAATGGGAATTCTGTCATGACCAGCTGCCTTACCTGGTCGAAAAGAATTGGAAATTTCCGATAACTCATTTGGAGTCACTGGATCAAAAAACACCGATTGACAAAAGTGACCAGAGAGAAAACTGCGTTGAGAGACAGACGAGTGAATTTCTTTGGCTAGATTAGGTCCGATACTAGAAAAATAACTACAGAATCTATTAGCGATGTCCACTGGATCCGTAATTTCTTGGTTGTCAACTTTAAAGATGGAATTGATTTTAAACGCTTTCTTTTTTGTCTTAATAATTTCGTTTAGAACTCTCCATGTAGCTTTGGCATTTGATTTAGAAGCATCGAGGTCCGATACTAGAAAAATAACTACAGAATCTATTAGCGATGTCCACTGGATCCGTAATTTCTTGGTTGTCAACTTTAAAGATGGAATTGATTTTAAACGCTTTCTTTTTTGTCTTAATAATTTCGTTTAGAACTCTCCATGTAGCTTTGGCATTTGATTTAGAAGCATCGATTTTCTTTTCGTAATATATACGTTTAGCAATTGTTAATGAGTGATTCAATTTGTTTTTGTAATTTTTATAACGAGTTTCATAATGCGAAGATTGATTAGTGAGATACTGTCTATATAACTTATTTTTCGTTCTTATCGACTTCAGAAGTCCTTTTGATAACCAAGGCTTACTCAAACGGTCATTACTCACCTTAGGTTCTTTTAAAGGAAAACATGAGTCATATGCCGTAGAGTATTGTTTGAAAAAGCTGTTATAGGCATTATTTGGATCATCAAGAGTGGCATACTGAGACCAGTCAATTCTCTCCAAATGCGATAGAAACTTAGTTGTGTTGACTTGATTTACATCTCGAACAAAAACAGTTTCATTAGGTGCTGAGATTGAGGTGTCGAAATGAATAGAAAATATAAGCAGATGGTCAGAAATGTCAGTGAAAAACAGTCCACTCCTAGATCTATCGAAAAATTGGTTGACGAAAATGTTGTCAATTAAAGTTGCCGAATGGCAAGTTATTCTTGTAGGGCGCGTAATCAATGGAAAGAACATACTTGAATATAGCGCATCTAAAAATTTACCAGTAACGGAATGACTTTGGTGGTTCATTAGATTTAAGTTAAAGTCACCCATTAAATAACATACCTTATTTTCTTTTGAAATCTTACTTAATAGCTCATTGGTCATTGTTAAAAATTCATCAACGTTTTGGTTTGGCGGCCTGTAAATCACACCAGTAACAATGTTCTTTCCCTGGGGCTTAAAAATTTCAATAAACAAAGATTCTGCGACGTTTGGCAACGACAAATCAAGATCGCATGGAAATTTAAAATTCAAATTGCTAGAAACATACAGACCAACTCCACCACCGGATCTATTTTCCCTACTTTTATGAACAAAACTGTAACCGTCGATGTCGACTGACGACGACGAATCATTTAGCCAAGTTTCGGAAATACCAATCAAAGAGAATTTTAAATTTACGTTAGATAAAAGATCCGTTAATTTGCTAGTATTACATTGTAGGCTACGAATGTTTAGATGCAGTAGACAAAAGCTGTCACAAATACTCGAATCTTCACTAGATAGCATGTCATTAAATTGACTTCAATAAAATATTCACAGTCATCGCTAAATAAATCCCTGAGGTTGGTGTCAGGGTCAAGGTCAAATGAACGAGCTAGATTTGTTCTAATATTGTGGAGTAAAGGATTGAAACTTAAACTAGCCAATCTATCAGCATCATAGCGAACAGGACCATTTTGCATTTCATAAATTGCTAGGTTGAAGTCGGCGTCATCAAGGTCGTTAAAGGGAAATGAAAATTCCGGAAAGACAGACATTTTCAATGTGGGGGAAAACAAAATTTAAGAAAAAAACAAGGGGGAAAATAGCAGTAAGAAATAAATAACTTAACTGTTCTCGACATTAGGTCTGTCTCTAATAACCAGTTTATCTAACACAAAATAAGCGATCTTCCCTGCTCTCTTGGCTGCTTCCATCTTTGGACGTTGACTTTCTCTTTTCTCAAGGGTTGCTGGAGATAGGTCTTCTTTCACAAATATATTGTCGGGTTTAATTCTTCGGGCACATTTCA